AAGTCCTATACAGATTGAGCATTTGTAATCTGTAAATCCAAAATGCTCCAGATCTGAAACCTCCTTAGAAGTAGAAAATCTACTTCTGACCTTGGGTGATGAGCTGCAGTCAGAATGCTGAGGAAGTGGAAATGTTAGATTACTTTAGGCTGTGTGTGAGTGTTGTGTTCATAATTGGGTCCCATCCCTGAATATGTATATGCAAAAGTCCCCCAAACCCTTAACACTTCTGGTCCTAGGAATTTCTGATAGGGAAATTCAACTGGTAATATTTCTTATTGATCACCATCTATTTTGGGTTTGCTTCCTGTTTGTTTTTAACAAGGTCTCCTGATACAACATGAGCTTGCCTTGAATTCCTATCCTGCTACCTTGTCCTCAGAATGCTGGGATGTGACTCTGTGCCTAATTTATCAAAAGATTTGTCATAGTTCTTTTACACCCTCATTCTTTTTTTTTTCCCCACCTCAAGACAGGGTTTCTCTATATAGTCTTGGCTGTCCTAGAACTCACTATGTAGACCAGACTAGCCTCAAATTCACAGAGCCACCTGCCTCTGCTTCTCGAGTGCTAGAATTAAAAGCGTGTGCCATCACTGCTCCGCTGCACCTTCATCCTTACGTTAGGCATAATTAATTGTACAAACATTTCACTAATCACCTACTTGGTACCAAATGTAGTAGCTTTCGTTTTGTTTTGTTTTGAGACAGGGTTTCTCTGTGTAACAGCCCTGGCTATCCTGGAACTCGCTTTGTAGACCAGGTTGGCCTCAAACTCACAGAGATCTGCCTGCCTCCACCTCCCTGAGTGCTGGGATTAAAGGTGTGCGCCACCACTGCCCGGCTTTGTAGTGGTATTTTTAAATTGAAGGCACAATAAACCAGTCCAGGAATATAAAACGGGATATAGTGTGTTGTAGTGTGGCAGTTAAGAATATGCAGTTATGCGTGACGGCAGTGACTTGGCAAGCTCTGGGTCAATGAGATACCGTTTTAAAAACAAAAAAAACACAAGGTTGATGGAGAATACAACCTAGGGTGAGCTTCTGGCCCACAAATGCAGGCTAACACCTGGGGAGGCTGAGGGAGACAAAGGCAGAAAGATGAATTTTTTGAGACAGGGTTTCTCAACATGTGGGTCATGATCCCTTGGGGTCAAACCACTTTCACACGGGTTGCCTAAGACCATTGGAAAACACCGATATTTGGATTGTGATTCATAACAGCAAAATTACAGTTATTAAGTAGCAACAAAAACCGTTCTGTGGCTGGGGGTCATCACAACATGAAGAATTGTATTAAAAGGTTGCAGCTTTAGAAAGACTAGAAATCATTGCTATCTGTGGTCCTGACTGTGCTGGAACTCAGTGTGTAGACCAGGCTGGCCTCAGACTCGCCCCTGCCTCCCAAGTGCTGGGGCTAATCACATGTACCACCATACCTGATTAAAACCTTTTCTTCATACAGTTTGATGGCAGAGACTGCTCATTTGTTCCCGGCATCCCATACCCGTAATAATCACATAGACACTGTATTATTTGCAATACTGTTTGGCCAATAGCTTAAGTGTATTTCTAGCTAGCTCTTACATTTTAAATTAACCCATTTCTATAATTTTATATTTTACCACGAGGCTCATGGTTTACCGGCAAGGTTCTGGCACATCTGTCTTCTGCAGTGGCTACATGGAGTCTTTCTGACTCTGCCTAATTTCTCCTCTATCTCTGCTTGGAATTCCTGCTTCTTTATTAACCACTGGTGTACGGGGGAACCTACATCATACTTTGATCATGTTTTCTCCTCCCCCAGCTCTTTCCAGGTCTTCTCCACCTCCCTACACACCAACTTCTGTGTCCTTTCTCTGTTTTAAAAAAGAAAAGAAAATAAAACAAAACAATGGAGGGGGCCACAAAAAAGGAGAGTGAATTCAAAGCCCACCCTTACTGTTTAATAAGACTTTACTGTAAACAAAAGTTAAAACACTATAAAAACAGAAAAGACAAACCACCAGATGAGAATTGAGGCTTCTCACATAGTAGTTTATAACCTTAAGTCATCAAACATCCAGAACTACTTATCTATTACATGGGTTGCTGTGAGGAACGTTAATAAGCCAATCTGAAGGACACAATAGTGTAGACAGAGAGCAGTTGCAGCTGTTGAGTCCTTGCCCCTGCCTCAGCCGTGCTCTGCCTTTGTAGGAGAGATGGTGTTGAAGGAATTGTGCGTGTTTGTGTCATAGTAAATACCCAGCACAAGAGCCAGGTGTTACCAGGTCCCCTGAGGCTTTTTAGCCACACGTATATTTTTCCCTTATCGACTTTTCTTTTTGCAGCCACAGGTGGAATTAAGAAATCTGGCAAAAAGTAAGCTGTTCCTCATATCTGAGATGATGGTGACCCTCTTCCATTCCTATTTAAACATCTGGATTCCCTGCCATAACATCTTTGCCATCTACAGCTAGAATGAAGTGTTATCCTGGAGCCTGTTAAACATCTGGATTCCCTACTATAACATCATTGCCACCTACAGTTAGAATGAAGTGTTATCCTGGAGCCTGTTGTACATTGTAATAAACTTTTGTAAAAAAACAAATAATAATAAAATAAATAATACAAATGGCTCATTGTCTCTAGTGTTCAGCAGTTCCTACCTCAGCTGTGAATTGAAAGTGAACCCAGTCTGGAATCCTGCCAGAGCCTGCTGTTTCGTCTTTGTTGTACTTTGAATTCTGTATCACTTTGAATTAAACCAACTCATTCAAAGGCTATCATTCTTGTGTGGTTTTTTATCTAATGGCATGCTTTTTCAGAGACTAGTAAAAGGAAGTATACTTTGTAAAGAAAACCACCTGTCTTTCATGATATTGAAGTTGCTATATGTTCATTTGTTTAACGCAAACTATGGTAATTCAGGCAGAGACCAGGGATCCCTGGAGCTCTGAGTTCAATTGAGACACCCTACCTCAATGAATAAGACACCCCAGCCTGGGATTCAAAATGTACTTGCATGTGTGCTCACATATCTGACACACATGCAAAGGAGGAAAGGACTGATCTTATTAAACTACAACTCATAATTGTTTTTCCTTGGCTTAACATTCTTCAGTACTTTAAAAAAAAAGCCAAAGTTCTTAAAATCAGGCTCTAAGGCAGTGCTTCTTAACTTTTCTAAGGCTATAATCCCTTAATACAGTTCTTGTGGTAACCCCCAATCAAAATTCTTTTCATTGCTACTTAGTAACTAATTTTGCTACTGTTATGAATCGCAATGTAAGTATATGATATGTGACCCCCAAAGGGGTGACAAACCACCACTTGAGAAACACTGCTCTACACGGTCTGGATACCATTCCTTGCCTTCTGATTTCTACTATTCACCCTCTAGTCCATTTGCAGCCACAGTAGTCTGGGGTAAAGACAAATCTCACTTGTTTTTGTTGTTTATTTGCTTGTTTTTGGTTTTGTTTTCCGAGACGGGGTTTCTCTGTAGCTTTGGAACCTGTTCTGAAACTTGCTCTGTAGATCAGGCTGGCCTCGAACTCAAAGAGATTCACCTGTCTCTGCCTCCCCAGTGCTGGGATTAAAGGCATGGCCACCACTGCAAGGCTCTCGCTGTGTTTATTGTTTGCTTGCTAGGTTGCATCCGATGCAGCCCTAGATGTCCTATGGAGACCAGGCCTGCCTCCCAAGTACTGGGATTAAAGACATGAGCCACTAATGCCTAGTTCTGTGTTTTCTTTTTGTTTTTGTTAGTGGCTAAGAAATAGTAGCAAGCACACACAGATACAGATCCTTGCAAAGCAGTGAGGAAGCCCAAGCCCTTCACTGTGTCACCAACTCAATTCCTTCTGTCTTACCTTTAGAAAATCCTATCTCCTTGGGAAACAGTCATACACATAAAAACAGTTTTTTAAAAATCAGGTTGCTTTGGTCATTTCCAAAAAGCACCTTCTTTGAACTTTAGGACCATGGGGTCTTGCCAGCTGGCTCCCAGCCCCAAGCTGCTGGAAACAACAAAAACAAAAGCCAGCAGTCATGGCTTCCTGCCCGCCCCCCCCCCCAGAAGTTACTTCTCTTTTATTTTCTGGAATCTAATCCTACCTGACAATGAACAGCCCTGTCTCTTTTCTGAACCCCAGACCTTAGTTATTAAGACTTGGGTATTCAGACAGGCATGGTAACTCAGACCTACAATTCTAGCACTTGGCGACTGACACAGAGGACTGAAAGTGTGAGACCATCTCAAGAAACAAAAACAGCTTGACAGGGTGGTTCGGGTCTATAATCCCAGCAGTCAGAGAGAAGGTAGGACATTTTGGAGTTTCAGGCCAGTTTTGGTTACATGGTAGTTCTAAGTAAGCCAATGCCTTCCGACCTTCGTAGGCATCATGTGTGTGGTGCACAGATATACATGCAGGCAAAACACTTATATACATAAAAATAACAAATCTAAAGAACAAAACAGAAGACTTAAGGCATTCTAGACCTGAGCACTCTCCTTTCACCCGATATTTTAGCAGATTGATAGTCTTACAAGCTAAGTCTGGCACCGAGTAAGCGGAGTAGAAAAGTCCCGATCCTGTTGCTCTCCAATCCCCCATTTCCGCTGTTCCACCCACCACTTCTGCTCATAAAAGCCTGTTATACACCCAAGCAAAACCCAAGTCTTTGCTCCTCTGTGAAGTTTTACCTCCTCTCTCTGCCGCAGTAACTTCCACCTGGTATCCTTGTCGAAGCTGAATATTTCTCAGTAACATCGCACATCAGCCTCTTACCAATTTTTTCTTGCCAATTTCCCTCAAACTGTTGGGCAATTCAAGGACCACTCACAGAAAGCCTTCCTTGACTTCTTGGCCTTCATTCATCTCTATACACCCAGCGTTCAGCGTTCATAAAGACTCTCCGAGAAATAAATGAAAGCTAACAGTCCGAGAAGTTCTGAACAGGCACACCGTTCTAGAGCGCAACCTTCCCAGACTTTTCTCAAATTCACACATACTCGAAACATTCGCTATTCTGGAAGATCCCCGCTTTCAGAAGAACTGCTGCATTCCTCTCCTCCCCAGGTCTGCTCTTCCAGGCCTCCTCCCTAAGACAGTCTCCGGACACAGGCAGGTGAGTCAACCGCGAAGCGTGAGGTGAAATAGAGCTGACCGCTGAATGCTGCCTGTCTCGATTCAAGGCGAACTGCTCGTCGGAGGCTCTGTGTTCTACACAAGCCAGGGGAGACAGCCACAGGTGCCGGTGGTCAGACGCACCGCGATCCCGCCACACGAGAAATCCCGGTAGCGCTGCACAGCGCCCGGGCACAACCCGCGGGTTAGCGGTCTTGAGCCGGGACAGGCAGGAACCTGTCAGGTGTAACGGCGCGCTCTGCACACGTCATCTCTCTGCGCCCGCCAGCTGACTGCTGATTGGCCGGAGGCTGGAGGGAGCGGCGGCGCGCGGGCGGTTGGGCCAAGTTGGGCTTGCCGCGGACAAGGCTGTGCTTCGCGTCCACGGACGCTGCGGGCTGAAGGAAGTCATGGCTGGGACCCCCGCACCGAACAGCCACAGGAAGCAGAGCGGCGGCCCGGCGCCTCTCCCTGGCCTATCGCGGGCCTTCGAGAACCCTCCGAGCAAGCGGGCCCGGAGCGTCTCTGAGACCACGGTCCCGGACCCCGAAGACCCATTCGGCGCGCACGCGGAATTCACCGCCGACGACCTAGAGGAACTCGACATCCTCGCGTCACAGGCCCTGAGCCAGTGTCCGGTCGCGCCTCGGAACCTGTCCAGTGAGTGCTTATGGGGGCGCCTTTCCCCCGGGAGTGGTGCATAACTCGTCAACGCGGTGACTTTGGCATTGGAGCCTTGCACCGCTTCCCTTTCTCTTTTTAAGACTAAGGAGCACCCCGATCTAAGGGCGGTTCTGTTTCAAAAGGTCCTTCAATTTGGTGGTTAAGACAGCTGCCTAAAGGCCTCATACACTCAGAATTGAAATACAGACAGCTAGACTGCTATTTATTTTCCTTGAAACATGACTACGACTACCTCAGAACTGTCACAACCCATGTGAGAGGAATTAGATTTTATGCAGCCCACACTGTAACTCTTGGACTGCTTGAGCATGGGAAGCCTCTGACAGAGGCAAGAGATGATTCTTATTCAACCAGTAATCTATGCTAGTTACCCAAACAAAGGTTAGGAGTGGCAACAGCCATAGGCAATGAACAAGAAATACCAAAACTTAAAATCTGTGGACTGTCAGGAGGATTCAATGGGCCGTTTGCATCTGTACTTAACACTTAAGGCATCTGAAACATAGGATTATTCCTGGAAACGGGAAACGCGGACCTCCATCTCTCCAGCAATACTGCCTGGAAAACCAGGTACCAGAAAACGCTCATTGCTGTCCAGATGTTTGATATGGCAGTGGTTAGCACTACTCTCCATCTGGGGGCACAGGCAACTCCTCCTCTTTCCTTTACCTTAATCCATCCCTGGAGCCCCACCTCCCCCGTGGAATATATCCACTTTGTTCACCATTGTGTCTTTAAATACTAGCAGATCCTATGCCTAGCCTACTGCAGTAAATAATATTAATGATATAGCAGAGTTACAACCAGTGAAGTCTTAGCTATTAGCTGAGACTCTTGAAATTGGGTGAGGATATAAAGGGAGAGTATCCAGATGTATGATTTCATAAGGGTTCTTCATGAATTTATATCATTTTCTGAGATTGAAAAGTACTGTTAAATATTGTCTACCGGGTCTTTCTCAATTTGTCTCTTAAGACAAGCATTTTATGACAAAGGTGGGTACATACTGAGTCCTGAAGTATATATATGAAGGATATATGGGATTTTCTTTCCAAGACAGGTTCTCACCCTATAACTAGGCTATCCTTGAACTTGAGATCCCCCTGCCTCCGCCTCCTATGAGCTGGGATTATAGTTCTGTGCCACCATGCTCAACTTAATGGGAACTGTTTTGTATACAGGTGCTGATAAGATTCACCAATTAGATGGGTTATCAAATAGTCCTATGAGGAAAAACAGAGAAAACATTCCAGTTAAAGATAATTTTGAATTAGAAGTACTTCAGATACAATACAAAGAACTTAAAGAAAAGGTATGTAACTTGTGAGGTTTCTTTCCTTGCTTATTTAGTCTAATGCTGAGAATTGAACCCAGGACTTTATCTTTACACATGCTATAAACAGAACCACTCTACTGCTAAACTATACTTCCAGCCCTAACTTGTTGTAACTTGTAGCTAATTCATTCATTTAGGTATTAAAAAGAATTGTGTAAAATATATAAAAGGTGGAAGATGGAGAGACGGTTCAGTGGCTAAGAGCACTGGCTGCTCTTCCGGAGGAAGGTCCTAAGTTCAATTCCCACCAACCACATGGTGACTCACAACCATCTGTAATGAGATCTGGCGCCCTCTTCTGACCTGCAGGTATACATGCAGGCAGAATACTGTACACATAATAAACAGTTCTTTTTTAAATTATATATATATATATATATATATATATATATGTAAACTTTAAAACAAGCATCTAGATTCATTGCCCTGAAATGGAAAGATTGGGGGGGGGAATGCCACCACATACATGCAGAGAGTGTTGGATCCTCTGGAACTGGAGTTACAACTGGTTATAAGCCACCTGATGTGGTTACTGAGAAAGGAACCTATGTCCTCTGCAAGAGCAGTAAGTGCTTTTAGTTGCTAAACCATCTCTAGCTGCCATAACCAGTACCTTTATATGAGGAACACCTCATCATAGAGGTTGCTCTTTCATTAGTTTTGTAAGCAATTAAACATCTTTTATATGGCCATCTGTAGGTACTGCTAAGAAAATCAGAACTATAACATGGAATTTTAGTTCTGTGAAGTGTGTGACCCATAGTGTTAAATCAAAGCTGAAAGAATCTATATAAGTGGCAAGTATATTCTAAAACAGTTCTTGCTGAATATCAACTGGTTGGGCATAATTTACAGCTGAAATCAATGGAAGAAGAAGTCCTAATTAAGAATGGAGAAATTAAAATTTTGCGTGACTCGCTGCATCAGACAGAATCCATTCTAGAAGAACAGAGAAGATCACATTTCCTTCTTGAGCAAGAGAAGACTCAAGCACTCAACGAAAAAGAAAAGGAGTTCTCTAAAAAGGTGACTCATAACATTTGCTTTGCTATGGACAGTAGTTTTGCCTATTCGCTAAATTCCATTAGAAGTAATAACCAGGCTGGCGGGGTGGTGCATGCCTTTAATCGAAGGAAGCAGAAGATGTCTATGAGCTCTAGGTCAATTTAGTCTACATAGTGAATTCCAGACCAGTTAAGGTTACATAGTGAGACAATGTCTCTAAAAAAAATAAAACAAAATGTAAGCAATAGCCAGTGTTGCCTGGAAATATTCAACCATTGTGTGTCTTAAATACTTTCTGCTCTTAATAAACGGTGTGCACATTTCTTCCAGGATGTGCATTTGGTTTGGAAAAGGACTAAGATGAAACTCTGCTTTGCTGTGGTTGTTGGTTGTGGCAGGAATAAATCACTAGCTTAGGGTGTCTAGGAATAGGCTTGAATTAGGGTTCTTTGTTAGATAAGAAATTCAGTTACTCGACTTACCAAAAAGGAAATATATTAGCACCATGTCCAAAGTCTAGGAAGACAGGGATGTTCTGTGGTTTCAAATGACTTAAACCTTACCAGGATATGTTTTGGGTCTCTGTTAAAGAGACCTGCTCTCCCAGTAGTGTGCTCTGACTCCCAGGCTCATGTACATACATTTCAAAAATCCAGAGTACAGTTAAGACTTGGGCTTTCTCAGCCGGGCATGGTAAATACATGTTTGTAATGCTAGCGCTTGGGAGGCTGGAACAACAGTGTTAGTCCAAGGACAGCCTGAACTACACAGTGAGACCCTGTTTCAAAAAGAAGAAAAAAGGCTGAGGTTCCCTATCTCTAACTTAAGATTTTTAAAAAGCAAATGACTGGTATTAAGGCAGGTACCTGTTTCCAGATTAGCTGTAAAAGCAAAGGATAACTATCATTTAAATCCCAGCCAGAGGTAGGAAAGGGAGGTTGTGTTCTGCAAAGAAAATGATTGGTATCCAGTATCTCCCACCTCTTTCCTTCAGAACATCTTTGTTCCCCCTTTTTACTGTGTAAGGGAACAGTGAGGTGGACAATAACGAGTAGTGTCTGCCGCCATTACTTCCTTTAGCAAATTATATATGTACATGCACTTGTACCTTCACAGAACAAAGGTTATTGGGAAGCACAAACATGACTTTTTCTTGACATGGTAATGTAGCCCAGGTTGGCCTTAAAGTCACTTTGTGGCCAAGGATGCCCTTAAGCTTCTGAACTTCCTGCTTCTGCCTCCTGAGTGCTGGGATTACAGGTGTAGTTGCTGCCATGCCCTGTTTATTTAGTGAGAAGATTAACCTAGGGTGCATGCTAGGCAGACACCCTTCCATTTGAGCTTCCAGGTTTCTTTTCCTCTCCCACTCAGTCCTTCCCTCTGCTTTCCTATCACAGGCATACCAATACCCAATTTCCCAGCTTACTTAAGATTTTTCTCCCCCTTAGCATCCTCCTTCTAGTTTCATGACGCACATATACACAGGTTTAGGCAAAACTTGCAGGCTCCCTGCTCAGACTTTCAAGAAGCTCTAGGATTCTGTGCTGCTAAGCTAATTAGCAGGTGAGCAGCCAAGGCCTGTGAAAGTAGAAGAGGATTCAGAGTTTGACAGCAATTTTGGGAGCAGAGCATGTCTCATGGTGTGGAAGTCGGCCAACAAAGCATGTTCTTTTTGAGATAGGTCATCTCCCCAAGCTCCATGCTGAGGGCTATACAGCTATCATTTTACTTAATCCCTGGTTCCAGCCAAGGACCTATGTTAGAGATTCAGACAGTCTAAACAAGTAATGGGGCTTGTTTTTAACCCTCATAAACTGCTTCCATATGTCTTTCTAGAGTATTTTTCAATGGAAAAACAGCTAACATTTGAAGACATTTATATTGCAATAGACATAGATAACGTGTTTTGTTTTGTCTTTGAGACAGACTCTCACTATGTAACCCTGGCTGCCCCTGGAACTCAATATGTAGATCAGATTGGTCTCAAACTCAGAGATTCACCAACCATACCTACCTTTGCTTCCTGAGTGTTGGGGTTAAAGGCATGTACCACCATGCCCATATTTTGGGGTATGTGTATATTATAGTGCTACCACTATAAATACCTTTATAAAGATACTACAAAATATCTTTCTTTGGCTTTTTCAGCTTCAATCATTGCAATCTGAACTCCAGTTTAAAGATGCAGAAATGAATGAATTAAGAACAAAGCTGCAGAGCAATGAACGGACAAGCAAACTCGCTGCCCCCTCCATTTCCCACCTCAGGTAAGGAGGGTGCTGCATGTAGAGTTTAGACTTGCAATGATTTGCAAAAAGCCTGACAGCTGTCTGGATTGTGTTGACTGAAGGACATTTCCTGATGGATGCAAAGGTGGCTGGATGAGGCTGGATGGTCTGAGCCAGTCAGTGTAAATATTCTCCCTCCAGGAGCGCGTACCCTGAATGGGGCACTAGTAGCACAATTCTGTGAGACTACAAAGAGCTGGAAAGATAATATCTATTTTTTTAAGGGAAAAAAAGGTTTATTTTGGGTAATAGTTCAGGGAGTACAGTCTGTCATGTTGGGGAAGGCCTGGCAACAGGAACTCACGGCTGAGCAGAGATGAATGCTGGTGCCGGCTCGTTTCCTCGCTTTCCCTTTTTATTCAGTCCTGGACACAGTCTGTGATGGTGCTATCCACAGTCAGGGCAGGCCTTTTTTCAAATTTTGAAAACAGACCTACCTTTATTTTCTTGTAATTTATTTAATTACCACTTCCCTCCCACCCCCCACCCTCAAAAAAGCAAGTATATTTCAGTCCTGGCTGCTTAAAGTATTTTTGCTCATTTGCTATCTGGCACCTTTGTCTTATAGCCCCTCCTTTGCTGCCAGAAGTGCTCAGCTTGTTAATGACCTGTGTCCTGCCCTCTGCCCCCATAACAGTCTGTCATGTGTCAGCCTTGACATTTGAGCTCTTTCTGGCATAGACATTCTCCTGCCTTTGCTCACGCTGGGCAGGGTGAAATGGAACTCCCCTTGCCTTGCATGCTTCAGGTGAGGTGGGAGAGATGAGGTCTGTCCTCACTTCTTCACCCATCAGCATTAGGAAGACGTCAGAGTAGTGAATACTCTCTGATATCTGGCTCAGACTGCTGTCTAACATGAAGCCGTCAGGGCTGACGAGCTTACTCAGTTTTCAGTATACTTTCTAATAGACTCTCTTTGTTTTAAAGATTTTTTTTAATTATGTACATCTGTATATGTTTGTGAACAGGTATGCATTTATGAACACAAGTTCCTACAGAGGCCAGAAGAGGGCATTGGATTCTGTAGAGCTGGAGTTACAGGCAGTTAGGAGCTGCCAGACATGAGTACTGGGAACAGAACTTAGGTCCTCTGCAAGAGCTATATTCACTATTAATGCTGAGCTATCTCCGACCCCATGATAAACTCTTTTGAAAGTTTTTGGACCCAGGCCCTGATCCCTCAAACCTCAGCCCCCCATTCACCCCCCCCGGGGGGGGGGGGCGCGTGTGTGGAATTGGAAATAGTAAAGACTAACAGCCAGTATTTTTGGGTGAATGAAAATTCATACTACCTTCAACACAGACTAACATTCATAAAAGATAAAACCTCTAGTCAAAATGTCTAGACATGAAAACTTAATTTATAAAAGTTTAATTTATGTTAGAACTATTCTAACCAGGTATTTTAAGGTTTTAACAGAGTCATAACTTTGCCCTCATAGTTAACTCTTTGCAGTCCTAGGAAAGGCTCTTCTGTGGTTATAAAGTCAGAAGCATGTTCTCCACGTGTTGGAAAATCAGCTTTCCCTACAAAGGAATCTTTTAGTGCTAACATGCCATTCTCCCATCCCTGCCAGACTGAAGCAGCACACAAATTTCTGGTGGAACAAGAGGGTAAGTCAAACTAATATAGTTGATTGCTGTGTAATTGACTGCCCTAGGAGTGACCTAAACAACAATACTTACTTCCTCAGAATTTCTCTGCATTAGCAGTTTGTCACATGGAGACCATATTGGGGTTGGAGAGTTTTGTTTTGTTTTTCCAGACAGGGTTTTTCTGTGTAGTCCTGGCAGTCATGGAACTTACTCTGTAAACCAAGCGAGCCTGGAACTCAGAGTTCCATCTGCCTCTGCCTCCCAAGTCTGGAGAGTCTTCTCTTTTTTTGTTTTGTTTTGTTGTTGTTGTTTGTCAAGACAGGATTTCTCTGTAGCTTTGGAGCCTGTCCTGGCACTTGCTCTGTAGACCAGGCTGGCCTCAAACTCACAGAGATCTACCTGCCTCTGCCTCCTGAGTGCTGGGATTAAAAAGGCATGCACCACCATCGCCCGGCTTAGAGTCTTCTAAGGTGGTCTGGAGACTCTGCTGTGCTACTTTATTTTATAATTAGATGCATCTCCACTCTTCCCACATCAGTCTTTTCAAATTGCTGTTACTGCTCTCCTGAGAAACTGCAGCCACATTTTTGGTGTCTCCAACTAACAGGGCATCACACTGTAGGCAAGAGCAGAGCACAGCAGCCTGGATATAAGTCCCAAACACACTACCTACTAGCTTATGTGATCTGGGCAAATCTGTTACCTCTGTGCTTCAGTTCTTCATATGTAAAACAGCTAGTTATGACCTCTAGTCATAGGGCAGCTCTATGAAATTAATGGGCTCATAAGTATAAAGTTAGTGATTGCTGTTTTCACCATAGTTTCATTTACAATGAGGCAAATAGATATATTTTCCTTTTAGGGATCTGGAGGTACTTTGGCTCTGGTTTTGACAGAGTTTGAAGAAGAGAATATCCAGTCTTTTAAATATTATGTGTATGAGTTTCTAGAACACCTGTTCTTTTATGGTCAGCTTTGCACTCACGTTTTTTTCTAGTTTCAGATCATAAACCCCACAGTCTGAGAGGTAGCCCCACGAAGCAAGATGTGCAGCAGAAAACTCTCTCTGACAGCTGGATGCAGAGATCAAACAGTCAAGGTACCAAAATACCTGCTTTTCTGTAGAAGCCTGCCTGGCTTTCATTTTCTCCTGTGATACACAGAATGGCCTAGGGGAACTGTCTGAAAAGCCCATTCTAGGCACATAGGAGTCTGTGACTTAGAAAGAAAAACAAAGCTGGGCGGTGGCTCTTACCTTTACTCCCAGCAAAGGCAGGTTGATCTCTGAGTTCAAGGCTAGCTTGGTCTACAGAGGAAGTTCCAGAATAGCCAGGGCAACACAGAGAAACTCTGTCTCAAAACCAAAGGGGCAGAAAAAAAAAGAAAGGGTGGGAAGGAAGAACTCTCCCTTGTCAGAACATTCTGGAGTTACCTTGTCTTTTGCAGGTTCTATTTTGATAAACCTGCTCCTGAAGCAACCTTTGGTCCCAGGGTCATCTCTAGGTCTTTGTCACCTCCTGAGCAGTTGTTCCGAGGTTCCTACTGGCACCCTCTTGCAGCCACCAGGGCTCAGTAGGTAAGCATGAGACTCCTGAAGAGCTTGTTTGGGAAAGTGTTTCCACAAAGTGTGTGCCTTTCTGGTTCTGGCCAACATGGCTTGTTTGGGGAGACTAGAGAACTTAGCAGACAGGTGATTTTGGGTCCTTAACCTAATCTGTTTTCTTTTGTTTCCAGTACCTTGGCTGGGATTTCAGGCCTCAGGACCATCAGTTCTCGTGATGGGTCATTTTCCCCCTCTGCCTTGAGAGAAGCACAGAACTTGGCATTCACTGGATTAAATCTGGTTGCCAGGAGTGAGAACTCACATGATGAAGACCTTGCAAAGGGCAGCAGGAGAGTCTTCCCGCTCGGCCAGCTTCCTGGAGCTGTGCACCTCCTCCCACTTGTACAGTTTTTCATCGGCTTACACTGCCAGGCTCTGCAAGATTTAACTCTAGCTAAGAAGAGTGGGGTGCCTGGGGACTGTCCGACACATACCTCCTGTGTGAGCTCTGGGGTAGAGGCCAGCCCAGAGGACTTGCTCTGTCACCTGGAAAGCTTCTCTGTGGCCTCACTTAGCCTCCTTCAGCACCTGGTATGCCACAGCGGGGCAGTTGTCTGCCTATTACTGTCAGACTTGGGGACAGATGCCACTGCCAGGGAAGGAAACCCAGTTCAGACTTGTGCAGATACGACCTCAACCTCCAGGGAGGATGCTCATGACCAAAAACAGCATCCACTATTGACGATGCTTCTTCAACTGGTGGCTTTCTCTTCTACAGCATCAGGTCATTTTCAAGCCAGTGTCCTGAGCCAGTGCCTCAAAGTTTTGGTGAAATTAGCTGAAAATGCTTCCTCTGATTTCTTGCCCAGGTATAAAGACTCGCAGGAGGCATGATTCCCTAGGGGTCTGCCCTGACCTCTTGAGGTCTGACCTGTGGCTCTGGCACTTTGTTCACATCTTGACTTCATTTTACTACTCAGCTATGGCTTAGTTCAGGGGAGTTCTGAAGTGATGGGAGTGGGGGCCGAATAAGCAAAGCACATGGAATTAGATACCGTGAATGTCCTGCCTCCAGACAAAGGCTGCCTTAGAGCCTTTGAGACTGAAATGTGGATTAGGTGAAGAATGTGGCACAACATATTGAAACTTGGTAGAGTTCTGTAAGGAAGCAGAGACTCCAGGAGCGTCTGCAGCCATGAGCTGACCTTTCTGGGAGTCTGTCAACCTTGTGTCCACATCTACTGTGAGTCACAGGTTACTTGCTTCTTAAGAGGAGTTTGTTAGAAGTGATAGTACAATGAATCTAGCTCATAAAAAAATGTTATAAATAACTAATTTGGGGCGCTAGAGAGATGGCTTAGTAATTAAGAGTGCTTGTTTTTCCTGTAGAGGGATCTGGGTTCAATTCCCAGTACCTACATGATAGCTCATAACCATCTGTTATTCCAGTTCCAGGGGATCCAGCAGACATGCATGTGGTGCACATACATGCACATAGGCAAAACATTCATACACATAAAGCAGAATAAGTAAATGAATCTTTTAAAAAATTATAAATTCCTAACTTGGGAGTTGAGAGCATCAAGGACAAGATAAGGAGGATTATAATTGACACTGGCCAGCCTGCCCTTCCATCCAGCCATCCATTTGTTTCTCTCGAACAATGCTTGCAAGAGTCCAAGTAGTTTTTTGTTTTGTTTTGTTTTTATTTTTATTTTATGTGCATCAGTATTTTGCCCTGGGTGTCAGATCCCCTGAACTGGAATTATAAACAGGTGTGAGCTGCCATGTGGGTGCTGAGAATTGAACCTGGGTCCTCTGGAAGAACAGCCAGTGCTCTTAACGTCTGAGTCATCTCTCTAGCCCTGAGGTCAAGTGGGTTTTTGTGTGTGTGTGGGTTTTTTGTTTTGTTTGTTTTGGTTTTTCAAGACAGAGTTTCTCTGTTTGTATAACAGTCTTAGCTGTCTTGGGACTTCCTTTGTAGACTAGGCTGACCTCAGACTCACTGAGATCTGCCTGCCTCTGCCTCTCAAGTGCTGGAATTAAAGGCTTGCACCACCACTGCCTGGCAAGAGGCCAATTTTTTTTTAAGATTTATTTATTTATTATGTATACAACATTCTGCTTCCATGTATGCCCACAAGCCAGAAGAGGGCGCCAGATCTGATTACAGATGGTTGTGAGCCACCATGTGGTTGCTGGGAATTGAACTCATGACCTCTGGAAGAGCAGCCAGTGCTCTTAACCACTGAACCATCTCTCCAGCCCTAGAAGGCAATTCTTATATTAAAGTAATACCACTGTCTAGGTCTAGTCTCTGCCAGGCATCATGGTCTATGCTTTTAATCCAGCACTTGGTAGACAGAGACAGGTGGATCTCTGAGTTTGAGACCAGCCAGAGCTATACAGTGAGGCCCTGTCTCAAAAAACAAAGTCTTACCTCTGAGCTTATCATTCCTTTTACTTTTTTGTGGTGTTTTGTTTTGTTTTGTTTAGATAGTTTCTTGTGTAACCAGGCTGGCCTCAAGCTCAGAGATTTGTCTATCTCTTGTCTCCTAAATGCTGGGATTAAAGGTTAAAGGTGTGTGCCACCATTGCCCACCCAACATTACTATTTTCTTTTTTTTTTAAATGTTTTAATTAACTTATTTATATTTGTTTATATATTTAGGTTTTTCGAGACAGTTTCTCTACAACAGGCCTAGCTGTCCTGAAACTAGCTCTTGTTCAGGCTGGCCTTGAACTCACAGAGATCCACCTACCTCTGCCTCCTGTGTGCTGGGATTGAAGGCGTGAGCCACCACTGCCTGGCTACATTCCTATTTCTTAAAAGTGCTTCTGGGTAATGTTTTATCCATCCCAAAGTGGTGTATGAAACTGAACAGAGCACTTCAGTACAGTATAGACAATACATGGGGCAGATTTGCCATCCACAGGCCCAACTTATACTGGCTAGTTGCCTGTTTCCTCTGTGCTTAAAGACTGAATCCCAGAAACCCCGTTTCCCATTTCTGTTAGCAGACCCCTCACTCTGCTCCTGTTCTGTTGACCCACAGGTATTCATAACTCTCATCTAATGGATGCTTCTACTGGCCAGATACTAGTGTTTCATTCACTGGCTCAGGTGACAGTCCTGGAGACTCTGGATTCTATACTTCACACAGAGCCTGGCTCAGTCTAAATGCTCAGTCAGTGTTTGTTAAATAAGCCCTATGTGAAGTAGAAAAGCTTGTTTAAAAATGCCATAGGGTACATATAATGGTACATTATAAGCCAGTTATTATAAGCCACTGCTCCATCACTTTCAGACAGCCCCCCACAAAATACTTCTGTTTAGATTTCATTATATCATGTGCTCAAGATGAACTGCACAGCTTCCTCTTTGCCTTCTAGTGAAAGCCAGGGTGGATGCTGTCAGGGCTGTAGAGCAGGTGTAAGTAGCTGGGAAGCTTGCAGTCTGCTCAGTGTCACTGCCCGCCCAGCTTGAAAACCCCTCACCCAGAGAGCAGGATTCATCTAGTTTTCTAGACCGGTGTTATGTGTAACTTGTCTGTTTCCTTTTTGAGATGGTCTCACTATATGCGCCCCTCCCCCCAGCTTAGCCTGGAACTCACTCAGTAGACCAGTCTGGCCTAGAACTCAGAGATCCACCTGCCTCTGCTTTCCGAGTCCTGGGATTACAGGTGTGTGCCCCCGTATCTAGCATAACATTGTAAAAGAAGGTTTTACAGCTACGGGAGAAAAAAAAAACACTGGAAACCAAAGATAAAATCTCTCCAGGTATGTTCAACGGCCATAGTGGGCTAGATAGGAATAGTTAGGCCAGAAAGCAACTAAGTTAAACTCCATTTTCCCAGAGATCAACAGTACCTGTCAACTAAAGAAGGCCAATTTCTTGTCTGTAGTGTGCTGTAAAACAAGCTGGAGAGATGGCTCAGTGGGTAAGAGCACTACTTATGCAGGGTGGTGGTGGCGCACACCTTTAATCCCAGCACTCGGGAGGCAGAGGCAGGTGGCTCTGAGTTTGAGGCCAGCCAGGGCTACACAGAGAAACCCTGTCTTGAAAAACAAAGAAAGAACACTTGCTTTTCCAGAGGTCCCCAGGTTCAGTCAGGTTCAATTCCCAGCACCCACATAACTCTCTATAACTCCAGTTTCAGGGGATCTGACACCCTCATACAGACATGTATTCAGGCAAATACCAATGCACACAGGAAAAAAAAGAATGATATAAAACTAGTTTACCCCAAATAGTGAGCCTTTGCTTTCTAGTGACACGGATAGGCAGTCTCCGCTCCATGCTCTGTGCTGAGATGCCCTGTATGTACAGACTGCTGCAGACATAAGCCTCAGTCCTAGGTGGCCTCTCTCCCACCCTACCACTTCTCCCTTGTGTTAATGTAGGTAGTGTGGGTAGAGCAAATCTAGTCCTTGGGACTTGGTTCCTTGGCCATAGCCATCTCTCTTTGTCTCTGAGACCTAAGGGGAAATAACATTCATATCCATTCTCTCCTCGTCCTCCTCCTCTTCTTCTCCGTTTCTCTCTCTCTCCCTCTCTCCCTCTCTCTCTCTCTTTCTCTCTCTCTCTCTCTCTCTCTCTCTCTTTTGGTTTTTCGAGACAGGGTTTCTCTAGCTTTGGAGCCTGTCCTGGAACTAGTTCTTGTAGACCAGGCTGACCTCAAACTCACAGAGATCCGCTTGCCTCTGCCTCCCAAGTGCTGGGATTAAAGGCGTGCGCCACCACCGCCTGGCCTCTCTTTCTCTTTTTCACAAACATGCACACTGTGTGCCCCATAGTAGGTACTTTTCCACACTGGTAACAGACCAGTGTTTTCTGACAAGTGCAGAAAAATGGCTTTCTTTGTTCTATTAATGACCTCATAAGACAGCTGTAGCCACATTCTTGTTACTTTTAAAGCCCTGGCTAGTCCTGTGGTATGAGACAAAAGACATTTCTCATGCTAAAGATATGGACCCGCATCCCTGTTTGAGAGCAAATGCAGGAAGGGGCCAGGGTGTGGTCATGCAGCCCAGATCCAAAGAGTCCTGTCCCTTTACTTGATAAAAAGCCACGTAAGGTCTATCTTCTTTAGGGTGAATGAGGGTTGTGATACGGTGGTAAGACTCAGCTGCATGTAGGCCAGGCTCACCTCCAACTCATTGTGTGGTGGATCCTGCCTCTGCCTCTCAAGTGCTGAGATTATAGGCACGTACCCCACCCCCACCGAAGGCCTGTCATTTTTAAGCCACAGCAGGCCTGTTGTAAAGGTTAATACTTGTCTACCTGTGATAGTCTTGAAGCAAGTAGGCGATGGTTGGGCCAGCATTTGAACCCAAGTCTCACTGCATTAAGTGTCCTTTTGGAGAATGTCATAACTGTGCCTATCCTTCAGGTTCTCCTGTGTGTTGCCGATGTTGCCACAGTGCCTCAGCTCAGAGCTGCCACTGCCATGTGTGCTGCTAGCTGTGGAGCTGCTCTCTGTTCTGGTGGACCATGACAGCCTTGCGCAGCAGCTGTGCTCCAACTCAGGTCGGTCAGGGCAGGCTGGGCTCAGCTATCCTGGAGCGGGAGGGAAGGATTGGAGCAGGGGCAGGTTCAGAGGCTCCCAAGGGCTTCTGCACTTGGACCCCAGGCTGCAATGAGAAGGGAGACCCTGAGTAAGGCTGGCCATCCTTTTCAGAAGGCTGCCTTCTCCTGAGGCTGTACATGTACATTACATCAAGGCCTGACAAAGTGGCCTCAGAGACACAGTGGCTTCAGCTGGAACAAGAGGTGAGACTGAGAAACTTTCAGAGACTGCGCACCCTCCAACCCTCCTAAGAGCCCAGGGTCTCCTTTCCTCCTGTGGGAAAATGGGAGTGACAGTTAATTTTGATTAGTTTATCTAATGGCAAAAAGTAAAATTTAGGGGTTCCTTACACAGAGGAATACAAATGTCCCCAGGATTACAATGGACTCAGCAGAGTTGCCTGACAATGCTGCCTGCGCTTTGGGGCCTGATCCTGGTCCCAGAAGTGGGTGAGCTGTTGATGAGATTCGGGTCTGAAAGCCTCAGACCCCACTCGTGCAGGCAAGCAGTTGGAGAAGCAGTGAGAGCTTAGAAAGGCCTGTGAAAGCGCTGGTGGCGGTGTTTGTTCTGCAAGGGCTGAACCATCTCTTCTTGTTCCAGGTGGTATGGCTCTTGGCCAAGCTGAGTGTGCAGAGCCCTTTCCCGCCAGGCATTGGTTCTGACTGCCAATGCAACGTAGAGGTGAGTGGCCAGGGACTAACAACATGGTACCAACAACGTGGGTAAGGATGTCCTGCTTCCCTGAAATGGCTAATGAATAAGTCATTAGACCTCAGTTTGTGCCCTCTCTTACCCTAGGCAGTCAGAGTGCTCACCGTGATGCTGCACAGACAATGGCTGACTGTGCGGCGGGCAGGGGGTCCAAGGACCCGCCAGCAGAAGCAGACAGTACGCTGTCTGCGAGATACTGTGTTGCTGCTGCATAGCCTATCTCAGAAGGACAAGCTCTTTACTGTGCATTGTGTAGAGGTCCTGCATCAGTATGACCAGGTGATGCCAGGGGTCAGTATGCTGATTCGAGCCCTTCCTGATGTGACTGACTGTGAAGGTAAGCCAGCAAGGGGACCCTGTCCTAGCCTTCATGTGCCTATACCTGAGGCTCATGAACTGTCAGACTCCTTTGCTGGACTTCGGTGGGTCTCCCCCACCACCAGAGCCATTCCTGCCACTGTGGACATTACCTTCCTGCCTGGTTCTTTGAGTATGCTAGGCTGTCCTTTGATAATGTCTATTGAATTGTCCTAGCTGAGCCATGGTTTTTCTAGAAATATCTGTCCGAATTGCTTTTGTATCACTTTTGCCCACAGTAGCTGAGGGAGCAAAGCCTGGGTATGGAAGAGACTGGTTAGTTCCCGTGTTGTTAGGGGAGGATGGGTAGAACTCCCGAGCCTCAGCACCATCAGGCTTAACCTCAGAACCCTCTTCCTTTTGGCTCAGAGGCAGCCCTGGATGACCTCTGTGCTGCGGAGACAGATTTGGAAGACTCTGAAATGGACTGTAGCTGAGGGCCTGAGAGTCCGGCCACAAGGTGGCACCAGCTCCCACCACTGTCTTTGCCTATCCACTGATTAAAACTGCAGTTCCTGCTGAGGACAACAGCTTTGTTCCAGAGTCCAATTTGTGTGGCTGAGGGAGGGATATGGCAGAGTAGGAAGTAGCTTGATTAGGTGCCTCCCTTTCCCTCCCCTACTGGAGTTGAGATGATCTCCTTGGTGACTAATCCGCCTTGAGGAAAAACCCTGCCTCTCTTCGGGAATTATCCTGAGTCATAGCTTTGGACTGGGGCCATGGGAAGAAAACTTTGTTGTGTAGCAGGAAAGGCAGCCTTTTCCTAGGAAGGCCTGGGAAAGTGGGCCAGGGAACAGGGGAAAGGCAAGGAGAGCATAGACTAGTAAGCATGCTTGAATCCTGGAGACAAACCTAGGATAAGAGGGTTGTCAGGGCTGGAGCACTAGTCTGTCTCATCAGTCAGCAGTATCACAGCGGAGGATCTAAGGCCTTTGGGGCGCTTGGAGAGGAGGGAGGGCTTTAGCAAATGAGGGCCAGGCCTAGCAGGCTGGCTAGCTGGGCGGGCCTTGTTCAGGAGGCAGGCCTAGAGGCAGACCCAGGCAGTTTCACTTCCTGAGCCCCTGCTGCCAGCAGCAGAACCAACACGGTGCCTTGCTGCCTGCTTCTCGGTAAGTGTGGACCTTAAGGGTATGGGGTAAGACAGAAAAGGATAAGTTTCCCTCACTCCAAAGGTGGTCAGCAGTAGGGGAAGGGCTCCTCCCTCAAAAGGATAGCAGTTTGCCCATTCCACTAGGGAAACAGGCCTGTCTTCTAGCTTCCTGCTCTGAAAATGGGCACTGGATAGTGCCTGACAGAAGGGAAGGTCTGAGCTGTGCTATTGCCCACACCCTATCCCCATCCCCGTCCTTGCCCACTTGAGATTCTGCTGGCACTCATCTACCCCATGCTCCTCCTCAGGATCAGCATGGGCTCACATGCTCTGCCCCATGGTCCCATGCAGACCCTCATCTTCTTGGACCTAGAAGCCACTGGCCTGCCTTTCTCTCAGCCCAAGGTCACAGAGCTGTGCCTGCTGGCTGTCCACAGATATGCCCTGGAAAACACCTCCATCTCAGGGGGGCAACCACCTCCAGTGCCCAAACCACCCCGTGTGGTGGACAAGCTCTCTCTATGCATTGCTCCAGGGAAAGCCTGTAGCCCTGCAGCCAGTGAGATCACAGGTCTGAACACAGCTGAGCTGGAAGTAAATGGGCGTCAGTGCTTCGATGACAACTTAGCCAACCTGCTCCATGCCTTCCTGCAGCGCCAGCCACAGCCCTGCTGCCTTGTGGCACACAATGGTGATCGCTATGACTTTCCCCTGCTCCAGGCGGAGCTTGCTATACTGAGCAATGGCAGTCCTCTAGATGGTACCTTCTGTGTGGATAGCATTGCTGCCCTAAAGGCCTTGGAACGATCTAGCAGCACCTCTGAGCATGGTCCAAGGAAAAGCTACAGCCTGGGAAGCATCTACACCCGCCTGTATGGGCAAGCACCGACAGACTCACACACTGCTGAAGGCGACGTTCTAGCCTTGCTCAGCATCTGTCAGTGGAAGCCACGGGCCCTGTTGCAGTGGGTGGATAAACATGCCCGGCCCTTTAGAACCATCAAGCCCATGTATGATATTGCAGCCACTGCTGGAACAACCAACCCAAGACCATATGCTGCCATGGCCACTACATCCCTGGCCACAACCAACACAAGTCCCAGCCATGGCAGGAGCAGGCAACCCAAGAGTCTTCCTCCAGCAAAGGTCTCAGAAGCCCCATCACAGGAGCTGCTGGCCCCACTGGGCCTGTTGGCCTGCCTGACCTTGGCAGTAGCCATACTGTATGGACTCTTCTTGGCCTCCCCTGGGCAGTAAGCCAAGAAGGAAAATCTGATTAATAAAGACCCCCACAGCACTGACTGGTACTTGTCGGCTCCACTTCTTCACAGCCTGGGCCTCTTGAGGCACAGTCCCTGCCCTGCTAAGAGCAGGACAATCAAACCTGCTAGGCTAATAAAAGTAGGGGAAAAACAACTTCAAGAAGTAGACAGAAACAGTAACTGGTGTATAGCTAAGGCTAGCAGCCCAGGCTCTGAAGGAAGAGGAAGTGGGTCCAAATGTTTGCATTTATTATAAACAAGGGTACAGAGCCTGGATGCTCAGAAACACACCAAATAGATACAAAGCTAGGGCAGCTGGTGGAACAGCAACCAATAGGGAACACCGAGATGAGGTATTCATGTCTGGGCCAGAGCTACCATCTGGGTCTTCCACCCCCATTTGGTCCAGATAGCCCCTTGGCCCTGGTGTCCCTGTTGCCAGGACAAACTGGACTGTTCTACAGGAGTCAGGTGTCAAGGGAAACAGACTCAGAGGTCAGGAGCCAGGGATTTCAATCTCACACCAACTATCACACATCTGGAGATAGAAAACAGGCAAAATGTTTGGCTAAAAGTAAAGGTACTGCAGAGAGAAACAGGAGCGTGAGGCGGACAGAGGCCCCTTGTCTAATGGCAGGAGCCAGGCCAGCAAAGGCGGAAAGGCATCCCCACTGAATAGCGAGTGCACGTGGCCCTCTACATAGTCCCAGGGACGATACTGAGTAGTTCAGACAACAGGTGGTGGTAGATGGGGCTCTGCCTGCTGTGCTTTGACATCAGGAGCTGACCCATAGCACCGAGCTTCAGCCAGGTCCCTTGTTCTGCCCACCTACCTGCCTCACTGCAAAATGCAGCCAAGCCCTGGGGACAAGCCATGGCCCTGAGCAGCAGCTAGCTGGTTACTCTCCAGAGTAGGACATGTGCCCACAAAAAGCTTACTCTCCAAGTATGACAGGCCATGGCTGGTCACCCTGGGGTGAACTGGGAAATACCTCCCCGCAATGTTTTTAGTTTACTTTAGACTTCAGAAAGTCTAATTTCAAGTGAGAAAGAAAGCAGATTGGTCCCACCCCACACTGGTAAGGATTTGTGCCTACCTGGTCAGCGTCAGAGGAAGCCACATGTTTAGACAAGGCACACACACCACAGAGAGCAGAGAGCTCTGTGCACCACTCACTCACACATGACATAATCAAATGGCAGTCAGACAGGTGGGAGGCAGGCTCAGGGGACGGCCTTTGGGGGGTCCATGTAGGCTGGGTTGTACGGAGGCTGGCTGGCAGAGTAGGGTGTAGCTGAACCTCCTGAAAGTAAAGAGGACACAGGTTAGCTGTGGGGACATTGGGCTGCAGTGTAAATGGTCAGGCAAGCTAGCAAGAAGAGACCCTAGGGGCAGAAGCCTGAGATGGGGGATCATGCAGGGTACCCACAGTGGTACTTACCAGCCAAAGTCTCATGATAGGCTGGTGGCCCCATGGGCTGGGCCAGGTAGGGTGGTGGGTACTGCGTTGGGTAGGGTGCTGCTGGCATTCCTGGCTGGGGGGGCATGGGGTGATAGCCCTGATACGTTGGTCCAGGGTAGCTGGGGGCCACACTTGGAGGCTGAGGGTAGGGGGTATGAACCACGGTGGTGGTTGTGGTGTTGGTCACGACAGCTGCAAAGAGAATCCTGATTAGTCAAAACCTTATGGCTCCCTAGGCCAGGAGAGGCCAGGCCTGCCCATCCATCCCTCCAGCTTAGCCCAAACAGGATCCTGGTCTGCAACCCTTGCCCTCTCTGGGATCAGCATGTTCACGCAGGGAGGGGCACAGGCAGGCAAGGTGGGGAAGGGCAAGCTTACGGCGTGGTCGGCGGCACATCTTATACAGACAGCAGCAGGAGCAGGTGAAGCATATGATGATGGTGGCAATGAACAGCACAAAGATGGTCAGGCCAACGGCGACCGTCGCTCCAAACCTGCCGAAGAGCTAGTTACGACCAACGATCCTCACCTCACTGCTCCCAAGGGCACCCTTCTCAGCAACACAGACTCTAAGAGACTTCCCAGTTATGTGGTAGAAATCTGTTTCAGTCCAATCCTCACACAGGTAGCAGGGATATAAAGCTCCCCTCCCCAACGCCTGCTCCCTGCACCTTCCTACCTACAACCTTGTCCTCCCCTACCAAGCCAGCAGCTTATGGTTGTCAGGCATATGCCACAAGCCAGGCAGGATGGGATCAGAGTCAACCAGGCTGCCAAGTGCGGAGGAGCCCCAGCTCAGCTCACTGCAGGCTGTGTGACATCCAGGGCTGCTCCATGGTTAACTAGCATGGATCCATCCCAGGGCAGCTAAAGGGAGGCAGCAGTACTTTCTGGAAGAAGCTGCCTCCCTGTCCTAGCCAGGCACCCACAGAATAGAGGGTCTGCCCTTTGACAGCAGCTGCATAGGCTGAAAGTTCATCTCTTCCCCCAAATAGTTCCCGATAGCAGACAAGGCCCCCAGTTATCCTCCCATAGTCCCTGGGCCCACGCTGTGTCCTAATAACAGACAAATGTTTGCTAACTGGAACAGGCACATTCCAAATGTGAACTCCAGAACATCTGCCCCTCTGAGATCAGAGAGGAAGGATGTAGGTACAACCCCACCCTACATGAGGCTTCCAGCTCACAGCCACAACAGGGCCTCTCGACCGAGGGACAGACTTAGGGACAGGGCCCCCATACTCCAGGGCTCCATAACTGGAGCCTTCACCAACCACGTGGCCCAGGACAAGCATTTAAGACAGGACCAGAAGCATAGGTGTCTCCCTGAGCAGTCAGAGACAGGAAAGGTCGAAAACACATTCACACAACTGGTGGCATGCAGCGGAAGGGCCAGTGTCTCTCTGCCTCTCTATAAAATGTGCCACGCTCACCCCATGTTAGCCTCCGCCTTCACTCAAGGGGCTCCCGCAGCCCAGGACTTCCCCTCTTTTCATCAGGGGCCACTCAGTTTCAATCTCCTCCCCTTTCAAAGAAAAGGAAATCGAATCTTCTTTCTCAGTCTTTCCCAGTCCTGACGTCAGCAGCAGGAAGGACAGACTCACAGGCCCTGTAGCCACCCTCTTAAAGACACAGCATGAATGACTCAAACAGCATCTACAGCACCAGCAGCCAGAGAAGCACTGAGAAGGGCTGGAGGGGCAGGCAGAGGCCCCAGGTCACTTTCCCAGCCCTGTGTATCCGGCCTCTAACTGCAGCCTAGCCCGGGCCCTGAGCTAGTCTGCTCACCTCACCCCCCACCCCCCACAGGCCTGAGCATGCAGTGGGCAAAGCGGGACCTGTTGGCTCTGGCTGACACACAAGCAGCTGATCCTCCTCTCCCACTCCCTGCCCCTGCCAGGTCTGATCATGTATCCCTGGTTTTGATGCCAAAGGCTTCCCCAGCCCTGGGAACCACAGGATGCTGTTTCTCGTAATCACTAGTGACATGGTGTGTACCCACCTTTCTGTGGGTATAGTCTAAGTATGGTTAACAACTAAAATCTAGGGTTTGTCTAACCGGAGAGTAAAACTTACAAAAAGGAGCCAATTTCAATCTTTAATTAAAAGTTTAGCTAGGTGTGCTATCACACAGGTAATAGTTGAAGTCTGGAGGCTGTTGAGGCAGGATTATGAGTTCTGGGCAAGCCTGAGCTACATAGAGAATTCCAGGCAAGCCTGGATTATACTGAGAAACCCTGTCCCCCAAAAGCTGTCCTCTAGGTCCATCTCCGCATGTTCTTCTCACCTAAACCTTGGAGACGAGGCCCCTCTTCCCCAATCCCACTGACGGCCTGCGCCTATCTGGCACCCCTATGAAGGGCTGGGCCTGTCTCCAGAGCGGAGGCCAGGGAAGCCTGTCCCTCTACCACTCTCTTCTCTTGCTCCTTGCTGGCAGGCAGCTGCTGAACGCCAACAGCCCACCTCCACCCTGGCCTCCCAACATCTGTCCAGGAAGTCACAGCCACTCCCAACGGCTGCCTGCCATGTTGACACATGTGTTTTTTTCTCAGTGCTCGCTTTGTGATGGTAACAAGATGACAGTTCAGGAAGGTAACATGGAAGCTCATACCTGTAATTCTAGCAATCAGGAAGCCGAGGCAGGAAGACTACACATTCTGGGCTAGTACCAATGACATAGTGAGTTCCAGGCTAGCCTGGGCTACAGAGCAAGAGGCTGCTTCAAAACAAACAAACAAAAATACTGGGGCTACAGCTCAGTTGACAGAGCACTTACCTGTATAGAGATAAATTATTCCAGTCCAATGATGTCACGCGCTTAGAGTGCTAAGACTCGCAACTAGGCAGGGGTGCTAGGTCTCTCCCCGCCACCCCTCAGGCTGGCAGCTGGCCTGCCAGTCTCGGAACTCAGACTTGGAAAGTTGCAAGCGTTAGCTTTGTAACCAAGTCCCAGATATTCACTAGATGAGGCTTTGCATTCCGAACCCACAGGACGGGAATCCTAAAGAGCTGGGGACTAACCTATACCAGTCATTTTAGCCTTTTCCCTATGCTGGTGCCCTGCTCTGCAGAACCGTCTGTTAAAAACTGTTTTACTTTCCCTAGTCTCTTGAATTTGTTATCATAAAGCAAGGCTCTTGTTTCTCCCACCTGCCACACGGGAGGCCCTGGGTTCAACCCGCAGCACTGCATAAACTCAGGGTGAGGATGCGCTCTTGTGATTTAAGCACTGGGAAGGATCAGAAGTTCAAGGACATCCTCAGCTACATACCTAGTTTGTGGTTAGCCTGGGCTACAAGAGACTTTGTCTCAGGAAGGAAGGGAGGAAGAAAAGGAAGAAAGAAAGATAGGGCAGGAGCCTGGCCAAGAAGTGTAGGGCTGGGAGAGTCAGGGTCCTCTCTGAGCGTGAGGGGAGAATTACAGCTGTGCCCCCTCTCCCTACGGGGCCACCCTGATCCTGAGGCTGAGAGGCCAGCACAGTGACTGTGAGCCACAAACATGACTGAGGCACTTCTGCTGTCTCAGCACCTTGCCTCGACATCACACCGTCCGTCCCCTCACGGTCATCACCTCTCCACCACTAGCATGGCCACCATTATGTCACCTCCATCAACCACCCGACTACCTCTGCCTCATCACAGAGGCAGACCTCACAGGACTGTGGTCGCCACTAAATGTCACTTCCTCCTCTTGTTACCTCTTCCATCGGTACCTGCCACTCCACTCCATCACTCAGGTCATTATGGACCCCTCCCCTGGACCTTCAACTATCTGTCCCAACCAGGTACCCCCATCATCGCCCTCCCCAGAACACAGAGGAAACCCAGCTCCCTGGAGGTTCAAAGGTCCCAGTGGGCAAAAACGGTCACAACATCACTGGGACACCATCCAATGATTCTGTGCCATTTAGGTAGGTAAAGGCCACCCCTAAGCCCACCTGATCCCTTGTTACTTCTGCCAGGAAAACAGACCCATCCAAAAGGCTTTATTTACCCTGACATGGGGTCACTGTCAAAATCGGATCGAAATCTCAGCGCCGAACCCAGCTGCTCGAATGCCTCCGTGGCGGTGGAAAATCTGCTAACAGAAAAGAGAAAGTTCCTGAGCAACACACTGGATCCCCATCTGCACACATGACCTTCCCAGAATGAACAGCGTACACACCAGGAGGGATCCGTACGCTCTTCCCCAACACACCAAAGGCAGTCTCCAGGGCACAGTACCGATGAGGCCAGAAAACAGCAGATCTCAAACTTAAGATATGCAACGTACATGCCCCTGACCACAACAGGATGGAGGTGGAAACCCAGAGCAGAGGGCTGCATTGCTACAAAGCTAAAAAAAGAAATGCAGGGGAAAAAAGACCACTACCAACTCTTTCCACTGGAGACGGAGGCAGGAGGATCACAAGATTGAAGTCAGCCCGGATTGCATGACAAGATGTTTTCTGCGGAGGGAATGAAGGGGAAGGAGGAAATGGGAGAAGGGGGGGGCGGGAAGAAAGGAGGGGCGACACAGAGAGGCAGTTACACAGAACGGAATGAAAATACTGTAAGTCAAAATTCAGCAAGCGAGAGTCACGGTGATGCAGAGCTGCAATCCCGGCGCTCAGGAGGTAGAGACAGGAGAATCAGGAGCTAGGGTAGGCCTGTGCTGCAGGAGACCCCATCCCAAACAAAACAGACCACAGGCATCAAACAGCTTAGCTAGTTTTGAAGAAAATGAACTTCATTACTAGATTATGTCAAGGACAAAACATAGTAAGCCACAGCTGGGCATGGTGACTCATAATCCCAGCATCCAGGAGGCTGAGGCAGGGGTTGTCTAAAATTCAAGGTCCTTTTAGGCTACAGACTGACTGGGGGGCGGGGGGAACAAAGCTAGACATAGTAATACATGCTTAGAATCCTAGCACACAGAGGAAGGACGGTCAGAACTCAAGATTATCCTTTGCCACGCAGCAAGGTCAGAGCAGCCTCAACTACAGTAGCAGACCATTCCAAAACACAAAAACAAAAAAGCCACAACTGCAAACACACACACACACACACACACACACCCCAAGAAAAGTCAGGTGTAGGGTGTATGTCTTCACTGGGGAGCCTGAGGAGGATTTGGAGTTCAAGGGCATCCTGGGCTACATAATAAAACCCTGTCTTCTCTTTATTCTTTTTTTTTTCCTTTTTTCTTTTTTTTTTTTTTGTGTGTGTATATTTCAAAACAAGCTTTCTCTGTGTATCTTTGGGTGTCCTGGAACTCACTCTGTAGACCAGGCTGGCCTCAAACTCACAGAGATCCACCTGCTTCCGCCTCCCAAGGGCTGGGATTAAAGGCTTGCGTCACTACGCCTGGCTATTCTTTTTTCTTAAAAAATTAATTTTGGAGCTAGAGAGATAGCTTGGTGGTTAAGAGTACTGTTTGTTCTTCTAGAGGACTCGAGTTCAATTCCTAGCACCCACATGGCAGTGCACAACTGTCTGTCATGGGCTGGAGAGACGGCTCAGTGGTTTAGAGCACTGGTTGCTCTTCCTGAGTTCAATTCCCAGCAACCACATGGCGGCTCACAACCATCTATAATGAGATCTGGTGCCCCCATCTGGTGTGTAGGTACACATGGAAGGAAGGCTGTATACATAATAAATAAGTAAATCTTTTTTTAAAAAAATCCATTCCCTGTGGGGGGGGTGTGAGTGAAAAAAAAAAGTGTGCACCACTATGCTTGACTGCAGACCCTATCTTAAATAATAAAATAAAATCCAGGGTGAAGTCTTCAGAGAGCAGGGCTAATAGAGGCTGGGAACAGATGAGAGTGGAGATGTGCCTGCTACCCAAATCCTCTTCCTGGCAGCTTCCCAGTTTCTCTGAAGGACAGCTGAGAGGTTGAGCATAATTTCCAGAATCTTTGAGAGACCAAGGTAGGAAAAATTAGATCCACCAACCACAAAATGAGGAGGCCATGATGATCCTGTACACTTGGACCAGGACCTGAGAAGCTGTGTCTCACAGGACGAGGGAAGGACAGGCCTCCCTCCTAAGCCTCCACACCAGGGCTGACCTCCCCACAGAAGTAACCTAAGTCCTCCGAAGAGAGCTCCTGGTTCCAAGTTCCTCCAATCAGGTTTTTCCTTTTCCTTTTCTCTTTTCTTTCTTTCTTTCTTCCTTTCTTCCTCTTCCTTTTCTTTCTTTCTTTCTTTCTTTCTTTTTGTTTTGTTTTATTTTTGGTTTTTCAAGATAATGTTTTTCTGTGTTATAGCTCTGACTGTCTTGGAACTTACTTTGTAGACCAAGCCAACCTCAAACTCATCAAGGTCTGCCAGCCTCTGCCTCCCAAGTGCTGGGGCTAAGGGCTCGTGCTGCCGCCACCACCCTGCTTTCTTACTAAATTTTCATTCCCTCTGGTTTAAAAGAAAGGAAGTGGATCTGGAGAGTTGGCTCCATAGTGTCAGACACACAGCTAGAGACTTTCAGGAGCACTAAGAGTAGATACTGCAAGAAAACAAGAGCGATACAGGGACAACGAAAATATCCACAGGGACCAGGCATAGTGGCGTACATTTTTAATCCCCAAATTCGAGAGGCAAAGGCAGGAGAATCTCTGTGAGTTTGAGGCCAGCCTGGTCTACAAAGTGAGTTCCAGGCCTGCCAGGACTGTTATACAGAGAAACCTGTCTTGAAAAACCAAAGAAAGAAAAAGAAAACAAATAAACAAACAAAAAAGTGAGATAAAACAAAAAAGGTTCACTTAGCTCTGAGCATGAAATTAGCAGATGCTGAAATCAAGGGACAAGACACCGCTATTAAGATTTACTTACTATGTACACAGTGTTCTGTCTGCATCTATGCTTTCAGGCCAGAAGAGGGCATTACTATAGCCACCATGTGGTTTCTGGGAATTGAACTCAAGACCTCTAGAAAAATAGCCAGTGCTCCTGACCTCTGACCCACTTCTCCAGCCTAACAAAACACACTGTTTAAAGAATTCACAGAGGGGCAATCTTACCTAAAGCAATCTACAGATTCAGTGCAATGCCCATCAAATTCCCAGCAAAATTCTTCAAAGACCTCGAAAGAACGACACTCAACTTCATTTGGAAAAGCAAAAAACCCAGGATAGCCAAAACAATCCTGGACAATAAAAGAACTCCTGGAGGCATCACAATCCCTGACTTCAAACTCTACTACAGAGCTACAGTACTGAAAACAGCCTGGTACTGGCATAAGAACAGACAGGAGGACCCATTGAACAGAACTGAAGACCCAGATATTAATCCACACACATTCGAACACCTGATTTTTGACAAAGAAGCAAAAAATATCAAATGGAAAAAAGAAAGCATATTAAACAAATGGTGCTGGCATAACGGGATATGTATAAGAATGAAAATAGATCCATATCTATCACCATGCACAAAACTCAAGTCCAAATGGATCAAAGACTTCAACATAAAGCCAGCCACACTGAGCCTTATAGAAGAGAAAGTGGGAAGTACACTTGAACGCACTGACAGAGGAGACCACTTCCTAAATATAACCCCAGCAGCACAGACACTGAGAGAAACAATTAATAAATGGGACCTCCTGAAACTGAAAAGCTTCTGTAAAGCAAAGGACATGGTCAACAAGACAAAACAACAGCCTACAGAATGGGAAAAGATCTTCACTAACCCCACATCAGACAGAGGTCTGATCTCCAATATATACAAAGAACTCAAGAAATTGGTCATCAAAAGAACAAATAATCCAATTTTTTAAAAAAAAAATGGAGTACAGACCTAAACAGAGAACTCCCAACAGAGGAATCTAAAATGGCTGAAAGACACTTAAGGAAATGTTCAACATCCTTAGTCATCAGAGAAATGCAAATCAAAACAACTCTGAGATTCCATCTTACACCTGTAAGAATGGCCAAGATCAAAAACACTAATGACAACTTATGCTGGAGAGGTTGTGGGGAAAAGGGAACACTCCTGCATTGCTGGTGGGAATGCAAGCTGGTACAGCCCCTTTGGATGTCAGTGTGGCAATTTCTCAGAAAATTAGGAAACAACCTTCCTCAAGACCCAGTAATACCACTTTTGGGTATATATCCAAAGGATGCTCAATTGTGCCACAAGGACATGTGCTCAACTATGTTCATAGCAGCATTGTTTGTCATAGCCAGAACCTGGAAACAACCTAAATGCCCCTTGACTGAAGAATGGGTAAGGAAAATGTGGTATATTTACACAATGAAGTACTATACAGCAGAAAAAAAAATGACATCTTGAATTTTGCAGGCAAATGGATGGAGCTAGAAAACATCGAGTGAGGTAACCCAGACCCAGAAAGACAATTATCACATGTACTCACTCATAAGTGGTTTTTAAACATAAAGCAAAGAAAGCCAGCCTACAAATCACAATCCCAGAGAACCTAGACAATGAAGACCCTAAGAGAGACTTACATAGAGCTAATCTACATGGGTAGTAGAAAAAGACAAAATCTCCTAAGTAAATTGGGAGCATGGAGACATTGGGAGAGGGTTGAAGTGGAGAGAAGAGGCAAGGAGGGGAGCAGAGAAAAATGTAGAGCTCAACAAAAATC